TGCATGATCCCTTTACTTGTTTTTTTATTGTCATTACTTTTTTTCAAAAAAATGTTTAGAAAGCTATACAATATTGCTGAATAGGATAAGTGTTAAATCTGATGTCTTCAGGCATATTTTACTGACAATGCATGCTTTAAATTATAAGAGATGTTGCTCAATATTTGGAGGGCGCCAGGTTGGGGAAGACTGGTCCATATTTTTTGTGATCCAAGTCTCCTACATTTGGGACCTCTGCAATTCACTTGCAGCTGGGAACGGCTATTTTTTATATCATAGTTTTCTGGGAGTAATTTTTCCAAGCTCCTCCTTCCCCGCTGTCTGATGTGAGCCCCGTCATAACATGGCACCAGTGTTCCAATATCTTTGCTACTTATAGTAATAATATTATTTGTGAAAAAAAATAGGTTGTCATGCAAGTTTTATCTGCTACATTGTATTGTCGAAGGCTTTCATGGCTGGAATCACTAGGTTCTTGTGGGTTTTTTCGGGCTATAGGGCCATGTTCTAGAGGCATTTCTCCTGACGTTTCGCCTGCATCTATGGCAAGCATCCTCAGAGGTAGTGAGGTCTGTTGGAATTAGGACAATGGGTTTATATATCTGTGAAATGGCTGGGGTGGGGCAAAGAGCTTTTCTCTGCTGGAGCTAGGTTTCCCCTTCCTCACAACTATTTAAAGGTATAGCATCCCTGTCCTTTTTTTATGGCCTAGATAAATATATTTGGGTGTCATCAGCATGCTGATAACATGCTGCCCCATGCCTACAAATAAGCTCTCCAAGCGGTTACATGTCAATATTAAAGAGGATAGAACAGCACCTTCTGGGATGCCACATAACAGCTCATTTTTTATACCCACCAGGTACAGATAACATCTGTATCAAGCCTCCCAAGTAGAAGTAAAATGATAATAATATCATATGGAAACACAGTAGCAGGTATACTATTATGCAAAATTTCTTGCCAAGAGGAAGAAATTGTCTCTATGTAATAAATGTTTGGCCAATGTTGTGCTGTTTTTGAATGGCAATGGCTTGAAAAAGTGAGCAATCGTGCAAACAAGAGGACCTCTGGGTTAAAGTGGGAGGCAGGAGGAGATGGGAGAGATAACCTTTGTTTTTAAACATCATGCAGTCCTTTAACCAGAAGAAAGAGAAATAAAATGCTATGTGTAGCTATGCAGGGGCAGCTCAACCCATTATGCAAAGTAAGCATTTGCAGTATAGTTGATTTTGCCCAGGGGCACTCTTGAGGCACTCTTGGGGGAAAATACACCTTGACATATGCGAGTTGTAGTTACTGGGATGTATAGTTCACCTACAATCAAAGAGCATTCTGAACTCCACCAATGATGGAATTGAACCAAATATGGCACACACAACTCCCACGACGAACAGAAAATATATATCAATGATTGGTTGGGGTAGGGGGGCAAAATACTGTTTGCTTACCGTTGAAAATTATCTAGGGCCGCCTCTGTAGCTATGTATAGCTTTTTAATAGCTTTGCTCTTAAACTTTATCAACCTGTTGAGTACTTTGTATCATCGTATCATTCTGACTGCAAACAAGAACCTTGCTTGCATGCCACAAATTATCTGGATATAATTCAAATTTCATGGCATGAAGGTATTTCTTAATAAAATGCATACTGAACACAGTCGGTTGATTAAGTGAAATGAAAAGAAACCAATCTAGAGCTAAAAGAGATCACTGTAGATTGAATATCTCAAACGATACTTGATGCACTCCTTTCAATATACATTGGTAGCTTCCTTATTTCTGAACAAAAAAAACTAGTACTCTACAAGTAGTTATGTGAAATTAGAGTGGTATTAAAGGAAGTTGACATATATTTTACTTATTCTAACACTAAAATCCCCATGATGGAGTGACAATGGAGGAAACTTCAGATTAGAATTTCCATTCAGTACTTGATTTCTTCAGTAAACTTTCACGTTCATCTCCACTGTTTAATGCTCCCAGCTACTATTTATTGGCAAAATCCATGTTCCAGCAAGAACAATCATATTAAAATAAATCCTGTTTGATATTGGAAACAAAGCAGTGTCAGATCTGGTTAGTGCTTGGATGGGTGACCACCAACAAACACCAGGTGCTGTAGACCATGTTTCAGAGGAGGGAACATGTAAAGCCACCTCTGAGGATTCCTTGCCAAAGAAAAACTAAGAAATTCATGGGGTCACCATAAGTTGACATGCAACATAAAGAAACATTCATAAAATTCCACACATTTCAATGGCTGTACTTGAATACTGAGCATTTAGTATTCTGATCTGATTTTGAGCTAACTTTGGGAAATTACTGTTGGTCAGTATCTCAATATCCTCAAAGAGCTGGCTTGGATATTTAAAGGAAACTGGATGGATGATCTGTGCTTCCTTGTTCCTTATGCTCCCAGACATCATCCAAAAGGGAGACATGCATATCCACAAACAGAGGCAACCTTAAAAAGGTGCTAAAATATCCTTTTACAAAAGCACTCCAGATTATTAATGCATTTTCATGCTCTTTGCTAGAGGTAATTAAAAATAAATTTGAAAACAGTTCAACACAGTTTAACATGTAAACACATTATACCTTTTTTTAAAAAAGAATATATTACAATAGTCTCTCAGTGGGACTTCAGTATAAACAAAAATGACAAAATAGAAAAGAAGGAAAACATGGAAAATATTTTGAATCTATTTAAAGCCTTTGTGTATGTGTAAGTGTGCATCTGGTTTCCCCCTGCAGTGTCACTTCTTTAGACTTTCAAGGAATTGGTGTTTGATGTGTTGCATTTATCCTGAAAGACAAGATGATTTTTCCTTCCTCCTTTAAAGCAGAAAGCGACAGTTCTTGTTGAATAATAAATTAAAAATGAGTGTTAACATTTATTTTGATTGTAATTTTATAGTAATTAAAAGTTGCAGACTTCTGAGTGCCTCTTAAAAATAATACGTATCATTCTGTTTTTATTGTTGTACTTTTTTAGAAGATCAACATGATAACTCTTCAGATTTTTAGGATACAGGATAACCAACATCACAATCAAGTAAACTTGACTCGGACCCAACGATTTTCTAAAATTGAAGTGCTATTTCCCAACCTCCAAAATTATATGAGAAAAAAAGTTTTAGCATTCCCAAAACTGGTTTAGTAGATTGACTTAGACATTTATGTCCTACCAAGGTTTATGTGCTATAGCTTCTTTTATTTGCCACATTTCACACACTGTAAAGTAAATTATAGTATTATGGTGGCATACTACAAAAAGAATTGCAATAGGAAGCAATAACATAAACACTTAGATGTTAGAACAGGCATGGACAAACTTTGGCCCTCCGAGTGTTTTGAACTTCAACTCCCACAATTCCTAACAGCCAGTATGCTGTTAGGAATTGTGGGAGTTGAAGTCCAAATTATCTGGTGCAGTGGTTCACAAAATGTGGGTCCCCTGATGTTTTGGCCTTCAGCTCCCAGAAATCCTAACAGCTAGTAAACTGGCTGGGATTTCTGGGAGTTGTAGGCCAAAACACCCGGGGACCCACAGGTTGAGAACTGCTGACTTGGAGGGTCAAAGTTTGCCCATGCCTGTGTTAGAACATAAATGGGAATCACATGGCCTTCTAGATGTTCATGAACTAAAATCCTCAGCATCTTTCTCAGTAGTTGTCCTGGTTAAGATTTCTGGGAGTTGCCCTCCAACACAATCTGATTCCCATCCCTGAAGTAACCAGATGGCGAACCTATTTAACATTTTTGTCTGAGCTTTAAAGCAACGGTCCAATACGCTGATCCTATCAGGGGATAGAAATTGTTGCCTTGAAATCAAGACTAAAACACAGAGCAAATTCAGTATCCCACTGACATCTGAGCCTCTAGTGGCTCATATAATTGTACTAAATACCCATGGAAATCCCTTAGTTAAAGTTTGTTTCTGAGTCACTCTTTGACTTTGCTGTACTCAATGGATTTTAACAACTTGGCTTGTTTCAATTTCTCCATTTGTTTTCCAACACTTTTTTTGAGCCTTCATACTATTGGGCAAACTTTAGTACTGCTTTCTTGTCCTCCACCCACAGACAATGGTCATATCTTCAGAAGTGCTATATGTAAATCTTTCCCTTTTGATGGCAACCAGAAATGTGAAGAGAGATAGATCCAGCCTTTTATTTAAAAAATAACCGTTTCTTTTGCACTACTACCAGCCAGAACTAAAAGACTGTATAGTGTCGGATTCTAATTTTGTGCCAATATTTGTTCTATTTTGCGGTTGTGCTAGAAAATGCATTATAAAATTGAAAATGTGTCGAGATGAGAATATAAACATTTTTTTCCTCTTTATAATCAAATATGTGAAGCTTGCCTTAAAAATGCAAGAGACTTCTTCAATCAGGTGCTTCACCTTAGCCAGCCAAGGTGAAGCAATTTAATATACTATTGGTGCCATTGTTATTGTATGTCTTCAAGACCTTTCCAACTTACGGTGACCCTAATCAAACCTATCACAAGGTTTTCTTGGCAAGTTTTATTCAGAGGAGATTTACTACTGCCTTCCTTTGTAGCCATAGTTCTTAATCCAACGGTCAAACTACTGTGCTGGCTTGCTCCTGTTGGTGCCAATGACAGAGTACATTCACATGCATCATGCTTTAGTCAAAGATGACAGGAAAACATTTATTTAAGTTTTTACCCTATTTGAGAAATGAATAAATCATTGATGCATATTAAACCCAATCTATTGAAAAATGTTTAACTTTGGCGGATTTGCACCTCAGTTAAGAAAATTGGCAACGGATTGGTGTTAGGCAATCCATTACAGCCCCTCGCTGGAATTCTAATTATATATTTATTAAATATTACTCCTGAGGCTGAACTGAAACAGGAGAGAAAAATACATGGCAAGCAATGTTTGGATACAATTACACACTCACGTATATATGCATGCATATAGATATGTAGTTTATTGAATATTCTTTTCTTCTTTTCTTGCAGAGGTTGAAGGCAGCATTGACTCATCATCCTGCAGGCATGTCAAATGGAAATATGAACACCATGAGCCATATGATGGAAATGATGAACTCCCGACAGGACCAGACTACCCACCACCACATGCACTCACATCCGCATCAGCATCAAACGCTTCCACCTCATCATCCGTACTCACACCAGCATCAACATCCAGCACACCATTCTCACCCTCAAGCACATCACCAGCAAAACCATCCACACCACCACTCTCACTCACACCTGCATGCGCATCCAGCACATCATCAGACCTCGCCACATCCGCCACTGCACACAAGTGGGCAAGCACAGGTAGACCTTTCTCAAAACCTATTACTTGCAAATGGGGATTTAGCAGGGAAATGTTCAAATGTAGATTATGTAAATTGCAATTTCCTCAGGTCCTTTGTGTAGTCCTACTGATATTTTTACATATTTAACCAGTTTGTGTTTTGCAAAGTTATAATTGAAAGCTTGTAAATATCTTTTAGCTTCCCATCACTAGGGAAAAACAACAAGCATCATATTTTAATTTTTAAAATTATATACAAGACAAGTTGTACAACCACAAATGTATGTGTGTGCGCGCGCTCATGCAAACACAAATAGTTTTATTGAGGGAGAAAATTATGTAAAACTACAGACAGTAAGGGAGGAAATCCATCAAAACTGATTACATTAACAAATCCATTTAACTCATATTTTGATATAGTACATTGATAAAATGAGAATACTGGTGAAATTCTGAGAAAGGTAATGATAGATATTCATGTCTACATTCCTGTACACAGTGCTTCCTGGTGTGGATGCCACTTGATATTTTCTTTTTTGCAGCAGTATAGCACTGGCCATAGTTATGCTACACAGAGTGTGGGCTAACCAAGTGTATGACTGAAAAAAATATTTAAGCACATAAACTTTCACATATGTTTGAAGGCAAAAGATGATCCTTTATGTGGTTTTTTTTTCATATACCATAGCAACCTGCCTGCCCAGTACCATAAAACATTTTATGGTGAGAATCAGTCAAATAGAAAAACATTATTTTCAGTTAAGATATTTTCAAAGGAAAGCTGAATGTAGTACCATTCACCAAACTAATGCTAATGCAGCATCTGGATCAAAACTAGGCAGCTGCTTTTGGTTTCTGTAGTATAAACCAAACTAAATATTAGATGTAACATTGCTGAAGTGAATGTGAAAAAAATACAGCAAGCTTGCATGAATCATTTTCTCTAGAATATAACCAGGATTTAAAGCATATTACACGTCTCATATATAATGAAATTTAACAGCTCAACCATTGGTGTTAGAACAGTGATTCCCAACCTGTGATCCGTGGACCACCAGTGGTCTGCAAGAACTAAAACATGGTCCGTGGTTTCACTGTTACTACACCATTGCAACGAGAGTGACTGGTCTCATGAAACTCTCTTATAGTGCCGAGGCATCGGGGATATCAGGAGGGGAGAGGCTGACTACCCACAAAAGACGCAACAACAACTTTCCTGACTGCTGCTTCTGCGCCTCCTCCCTCCCCAGAGTAGAGCCGTTCCATGTGGTGCCTGGAAGCAGGGGCACCTTGGCATCTTAGTTTTTAGGCCTGTTATGGGGTTATTTGGGGAGCTGATTCAGCAAATGGCACTGAATAGACCACATCAGCTCTTGATTATTAAATATGGTTTTCTGTGGGTGAGCAGATGGCAACTACTGGATGGCATATGTTCTGTATCAGAAACTAGAGCTGGTGTGGTCTATCCAATACAATTTTCTGAATCAGCACCCCAAATAACCAAATCAAATCTAAAGTTGACCAAAAACTGATTCATAACCCTTTTGGTACTAATGTTGGAGAGTGATCCTTGGTGAAAGTGATCCCTGGTCAAGTGGTCCCTGGTCAAAGTGGTCCCTGGTCAAAATAAGGTTGGGAACCACTGTGTTACAGAGTAATGACTGGAGTTCAGAAATAAGAAGTAATAGGATGGTAGGAAAAGGTTAATATAAAAAAAGAGAATAAAGTAGCAATCCCAAGTGATAGATCTATGTGTTTAGATGAAGGAAAGTTGATGTTTGATCCATCTTATATATAACGGGATAATATGTATCAGAAGAGATAGGCAACATGTGGACTTCCAGGTATTGGTAGATTGCAATGTAGCCAAAGTTATTGTTCCAGTGGTGAGAGTTTATGGAGGTTGTGTATCTGAACAATTTCACCATTCTCCGTATAGAGGATGAGAATCACATAACTAATGAAATAATTAAGAAGAGCAATTAAGAATCACATGCTGGAGGGTAAAACAAAAGATACTATTTATTGGCAAGACTCACTTGCAGCAGAATAATCCCATTGGGTTCAGTAGAATTGCTTTTATTTGACACTATATTTGGAAGAGTTATTTGTTAAAATGCATTGTTGAGTGTTGCTTAGAGGATAAATGGAAATTTTAACATCTATAGGTCAGGTAGGTCTCTGGACAACAGAACAGTTTGAATTCCTCATGGGAGCACAAAAACAATGACACTTTTTGAAGAGGGCATAGGCTCGGATAAAAGATGGTTTGAGTGAGTAATAAACATAAGGTTATTACTTTCCAAGCCCATCTATAATTCCCCTCAGTATTGGCCTCTTTTGGGGGTCAGACGGCTTCAGCAGACACATTAATCTTATGGTACACTTTACTAATTATTAACCAACTCTTTCTATTGAACCAAATACTTAAGTTTCAAGGTTCATGTCAAAACTAAAGCATGAGCTGAATTGCTAGGAGCCACATTTCCCTTTTGCCACAATTTTGATTATTTTATGCCTTGCCCCTGTATTAAATTTCAAACTTTTCAACAGCCAAGAAAGCCTAATGAATTATGGGTCGCTAAAATGAATGACTAAAAACATAGCACTTGGTTATAAAGAACAGAAGAAATGTACTGGATCAGGGATCAAGGCAAAGCCCAGCCAATTTAGTATGTCCTTCCCCCCCCCCCCCCCCCCCATGGTAGATGTTTTACTTTTGTGTTGGCTGGTACAATTATTGAAGTTATTACATACATTTTCATTTCTTTGTTTTTTTTTAAAAAATAATAATAATACTGAAATGTCTTTCATGTGAATTTTCAGAATTTGATTCAGGAAGGCAGTTGTCTATATTGTGCTCTGCTATATATATATATAGGCTAAGATCCTACATGACTGTGCATAGTGCAGGACTCAACTATAGTTCCCCATCACCACTCCCCAGGACTCACCATTGCACTATAATAAACACATACTACTGCCATTCTGTTGCTGGTAAACAGAGGGTGGATCAGAGAAATAACTGTTTTCATTGCCATAGGCCAGTGGTTCCCAGCCTTTTTTTGACCAGGGACCACTTTGACCAGGGACCACTTGACCACATCAGCTCTAGTTTCTGGTACAAAACATATGCCATCCAGTAGTCACCATCAGCTCGCCAACAGAAAACCATATTTTATAATCTAGAGCTGATGTGGTCTATCCAATACAATTTTCTGAATCAGCACCCCAAATAACAGGAAGAGGCCTAAAAATGAAGACACCTAGGCAGCCCCACTCTCAGGCACCATGTGGAACAGCTCTGCTCGGAGGGAGGAGGAGGAGGAGAAGCAGCAATCAGGAGGCTTGTTGTCGTACCTTTCATTGGTAGTCAGTCTCTCCCCTCCCAACATCTCCGTTGCCTTGGCACTATAAGAGAGTTTCGAAAGACCAGTCACTCTGTTACAACAGTGTAGTAATGGTGAGGCTGCAACCATATTTTAGTTTTTGGGGACCATTGGTGGTGCTTAGACCACAGGTTGGGAACCATTGCCAAAGGCAGACAGAGGGTATCTTCCATCTGGAAGTCTAAACAGATGCTATCAATCTGTGACTGGAGATGGATATGAAGTCAGATTATTATTATTATTATTATTATTATTATTATTATTATATTTATACCCCACTTTCTCTCTCCTGAAGGGGACTTAAAGCAGCTTAACATAAAAGCATTAGCATACAATTTTAAATATACCAATATGCAAACATTAAAACAGGATTAAATATAAGTATTAAAAATATGCCGTTAAAAACCATTAAAACATATTCAAAGTTAAAAACCACAGCAGATGTTTCTCTGATCTTTCCCAGCTCTCCACCAGTTGAGGAATGGGCATGTTTGGGGCTCTCACAGCACAATGCTGAATCAGCAGCTGGGGAAGCTTTGATCTTTGAAGCAGCTGGACTTGAATACCAATTTCTGCATTAACCAAAGGAGATCCATACAGGTGTAAGGAGGCCTTTCACGTGTCACTAACAGAATGCCAGCTCTTGGCTGGGATCCTGTCTCAGTCCGACATAGCACGAAGCCCAACAGATGCAGCTCTGTTTCCTAATCCTCTCCTTGTGCTTGTAACCGGCCTTTCTGCTACCAGGACACCTGTATACACAAATATTTATTGGCTAGAGGAGGGCAATCAAGCAACAGCCAGTTACATATCTGGAACCTGACACATGAAGAAAACATCATCTTCCCCAATCTTTGGAGGAGGATGCTGTCTTCTTGGTACACCCATCTATAAAAACATACTGGTCACACTCTCACACCCCACTTTCTTCCAGTAATTAAATTTGTGTTCTGAAACACCCTGGCAAAAGAAAGTAGATTGCTCAATGACCAATGGGTCAGAGCACCAAGGAGGTGCTTGATGCATCCTTCCAAAATAACCCTAAAATACATATAAGTTGCTATAAGAACCATATGTCACCATCAGGATCCCAGTCATAATCTTCTTTGGTGGACCTGCTTATCTTAAAAAGGTCTAGATCACATTCCTCCATATCATTCTCTGGAATATAATTCCATTGAATGCCTAAATAGCATAATCCTTACAATTCTGACTATTTACTACCCTCCGTTTCAAATAAGGTGACTTGAAAAATGTTAGGATACTTTCCAACACATCTGGGGTGTCTTTCATCCACTCTCTCCACAAGTTAAGGGAGGGCACATGGTTATCAAGTAGGAGCACATCCTTCTCTTCTGTGAAAAGGGTGTCTTCCCTTCCCTTAATTCTGAGAGTATAAGAAAGATCTAACATGAGTTGAGCTTGAACTAAAAAGGGGGGGGGGGAGGGAGAGACCAGAAATGCATGTGCAAAAATACTGATGTTCACAAATGTAAACAACAAAAATTTAATGGCTCAGAAGGTGTCACTTATTGCCTTTGATGTTTGGGGGAAAAGGTTTAAAGGAGTCCTTTCAGGTCTTTTGCTGTGGGGGCAGCATACATACATTTGCTGTAGAGGATATCTGGCATTACTCACTTAACTTTCTCCAGCCAATTCGGGGGTGAATTATATTGCGGTCTGATTCATACAATTCTGAAAGCAAACTGAAATGGAAGATTAATTGCATGTGGGCCGAGCTTATACATGGAGCAAAACCACTAGGCAGTTGTTTCAGTATGTGTTCAAATACTAATATTTTACCATGAACTGTCATTTAGGTCTTAATGTAAGATGTCATTTAGGACACCAATATTAACAGCCAGGCATTGTCATTCATGCTAGGATTTGAGTTTAATAGTTTCAGGCATTGGAAACAGGCAAGTAGTTGAAAGTTTTCATAGGGCTATGGTAAAGGGCTAAATCTAGGGACAGCTACCAAGTTGTGTGATTCCATGGTGCCATCATAGTACTACTTAATCATTAGCACACATTTGCCATGAGCCATTTCTGCAAGATATCATGGCACCATGATCTGGTATGGCAGCCCTGCAAACATGTATATATTTACTATCTAAGGAAAACTGGATATATATACAAAATGTAGGACTAGATAGATAGATAGATAGATAGATAGATAGATAGATAGATAGATAGATAGATGATAGATGATACAGATAGAATCACAAAATACATTTTACATATACTGCATAATATATATCTAATTTTTATTAGAGAATTGAGACCCAATTATCTAACAAACATATGGGCATACTAAGGATTACAATGATAGTGTTGGACTGTGGTTATTCATAGAATAATAAACCAATTACAATCAGGAAATTTAGTTAGCAGTGATTGCTTTAAATCACACTGATTTCAGCTGTAAGTATGACTAAGGGTGCATCTGCACTGTAGAAGTAATACAGTTTGACACCACTTGTACCCTGAGTGTTGTCGTTTTATACAACTGGAATATACAATATGCTGGTAGCTCCCCAGACTGCAAAATCCCAGGATTTCATAGCACTGAACAATCGCTGTTAAACTGGAATCAAACTGTATTAATTCTACACTGTAGAGCCAGCTCAAGGCTATATCAAACCCATCTTCATTTCTTTGATGATCTTGTCATGTTCTCTTCGTTCTCCTTATTTTTAATACTTTTTTAAAAAAATCGTATTTTATGGGAAGAAAAACCTCTCTACCAAACCATTTGACCAGTAGCTTGCTTGGAGGTGCCATGCCATCATCTTCCTGCTTGCGTAGAGTCACTAAGACGACTCTGCTAGAATAACAGTCCCTGAGTCATGGCATTCAAATGGCTCATTGGCATGGTGTCACATGCCTTCTGAAATGTTGCCGTCCCCCAAAAGATGATACTGTCAGTGTTCACAGAGATGAATTTGCCCTTAATTTCCACAAACTCATCTCACAATCTAGGACACTTTCAGGATACAGAGATAACACTGAACTTTCCAAAGTGGGGTAATAGATAATATGAGAGTTCTTTAACTATTCATTCCCATCATTTAATTTTGCTCTGATCTTAGATGTTTCTCTTCTTGGTTCAGCTAAGATACCTTAGGGGTGGGTTTCCAGATCCATATACAACTACCCCTTTATTAATTATTCAAGAAAAACATTAAAAAGATACACAAACATTTTAGATATATAAAACTACCAAAACTATGCAGCTGCAGAATGTATTGTACACCACAACAACTATTAAAAACTACAAACTTCTCACTGTCTATCTGATGGATTTGTTTGTTTGTTTTAAGGTGAATTGTCTCCTGAAAATATTTTAAAGTTGGTAGCAGACTCTTGGCAAACCATATGCAGTAAAAATGATCCCATTTCCAAAAAGAGAAGTAGACTTCCAGGTTTATTGTATCATCAGGAAAAAATAGGTGCTGGGCCCACACCAATTGCCCACCCCTGATATGTATAAACAAAAGCAAATTAATGAGATGTTTCCTTGGAAAACTGTGTAAAAAGACCTATATTTGGTGTGAAGGGACATACTTGCCTTTAATTATGTACATAATTCAACTCTCAAGACTCCTTCCAATTTGGAAGTAATATTTGTTACTGGTGTGTTTCATACGTGAATTGGATACTGTCTTTCCTGCCACTGAAATGAAATGAAACATTTTAATAAGATGGAGACAGAGGAAAAACGTCCCTTTGCGCCAATCCAAAAAGGCCATTTCCAAACATCCTTGCAGGCTGGTAGTCAAAGTGTAATTTAAGGGCAACTGGCAAAGCCTTTGAGCTTTTGCCATTCTTATATCTTGCCAAAATGTCTGTATTTGGAGAACATAGGATGGTCATGTTTTATTTTATGTATTTATTTTATAGCAGTGCATTTCCTTTTATTATTGCACTGTCTACTCCTGCCTCCTTTCGTGGATTACTTTCCTAAAAATTAATTGATCTTCTCATCAGGTATCAGCAGCGGCCCAACAAATGCAGCCCACACAGACAATACAACCACCTCAGCCCACCGGTGGTCGCCGAAGGAGAGTGGTGGACGAAGACCCCGACGAGAGGCGGCGAAAATTTCTGGAACGAAACCGAGCAGCTGCCACACGCTGCAGACAGAAGAGGAAGGTCTGGGTGATGTCACTGGAAAAGAAAGCAGAAGAACTCACCCAAACAAACATGCAACTTCAGGTGCGGGCCACTGTCAAAACGCTTGGGAGACAGAGGCACTATTTGTACCCTGCCCAAATGTGGGAACACCAAGTTTTTCTAAACTTACAGTGGTATAGCCACAGAGGGTCCAAACACATTAAATTAATATTTATGATATAATATTTAATTTGGGAAAGATTAATCAAAAGGGCTTATCAAGATTTGAAACTTGGTTCAAATATTTTATTTATGTATTTATCGTGTCAGAAGCAAATTGAGAATACAGTTATAATGTATTAAAAATCACAAAGTTAAAAACTTGCCATTATGCTAAATTACCTTTGAGCAGAATTTGGCCACTTCAAGTGCCTCTGGTGTCTCTGTAAGGAGGTCCTCCATTGTGGATGTGGCAGGGCAGACCGCATTGTAGTGAGTGGTCTGTGGTTTGCTCTTCTTCACACTCGCATGTTGTGGACTCCACTTTGTAGCCCCATTTCTTAAGATTGGCTCTGCTTCTTATGGTCCCAAAGCACAATCTGTTCATTGCCTTCCAAGTCGCCCAGCCTTCTGTGTGCCCAGGAGGGAATTTCTCATCAAGTGTCAGCCACTGATTGAGGTTCCAAGTTTTAGCCTGCCACTTTTGGACTCTTACTTGCTGAGATGTTCCTGCGAGCATCTCTGTAGATCTTAGGAAGCTGTTTCTTGATTTAAGTCATTGGCATGCTGGCTGATACCCAAACAGATGTCAATGCCTTGGTCCTTTCATTGGTGGCTGCTACTTCCCGATAGATATCAGGTAATGCAATACCAGCTCCGTATAATTTCTCCAGCCGCATGGGGCTTAGAAATCCTGTGATAATGCGGCATATCTTATTAAGAGCCAATACTCTTTTTTTAACATGGTGAGATGCATTCCATATTGGGCATGCATACTCAGCAGCAGAGTAGCAAAGCACGATAGCAGATGTCTTTACTGTATCTGGTGGCATGGTCCAGAGTGACTCCAAGGTGTTTTGGTGTGTTGCAATGCTCCAGTGGGATTCCTTCCCAGGTAATCCTCAGAGCTTGAGAAGCTTGTCTGTTCTTAAAATGAAAAGCACACATCTTGTTTTAGATTGATTAGGAATCAGCCTGTAGTAAGCAGTAAAGGCACCTAAAGCTTCAGAGAATTCTGGTTTTTTTAATGCAAACATTTAATTAATTTCAATTTAAAGGCTTTTCCCCCACTACCATTCCTCTCTTTGTTTCAATACCTGACATTTGAAAGGGCTTTTCTTACAGTTAGCATTGTCTTTGTTCTGTGGAATGTCTGAAGACTGTAATGTGGGAAGAAAGGCACTTATTTAGCCTGTCTCCCCCATCCTTTCTTTTTTTCTGTGTCATCCCATGTGCCCAAAGAAATCCAGGAACCACATGTCTTTTATCATTTTAAGTACAGAAGTATGGTATACATGGAATTATTAAACTATCTTTTGCTGTAATTTGCATAATATTTCTTCTTCATAATGTGGCACCTAAGAATGCCTCTACACTGTTGATGTAATGCAGTTAAACACCTCTTTAATTGCCCTGGCTCAATCCTATGGTGTTCTGAGATTTGTAGTTTAGTGAGGCAGCAGAACTCTTTGGCAGAGAGGGCTAGAGAACTTGTAAAACTACTACAGCTCTCACGAGTCCATACTATTGAACCATGGCAGTTAAAGTCATGTCCGACTGCATTAATTACACTGCAAAGATGCACCCTGAGGACAATCCTACATGCCAACGGTGAAATCATTTTCAGAGTACCAATACATTTGCAGCCTAAATTGCACTAGTAACCACTGCTTAGAGAGAATGGGTCTTCCAAAGTAGGCCGATGTGGAATGAGGAACATGTGTGTATGTTGAGGATTGAGGTTTGGGGTAGAATGGGAAACTAATGAGAAGACGGTAGAACAAAGTATCGCCAAACAGGACATATCTGGCTGATAGGAAAGCTAAACAGAACCATTTAAGTTTTCAGTATATGTTATAGGTCCCAGCTTTAGGTCATTAGAATAATGAAAAATATTGAAAGCTGACTGCTGCACAGTAATGCACAACCTAAGAATGGCAGGGCTATTAATTTGCCAGTAGCTCCATGCTGAAAGTCTCCATTGAAAGTTAGTTCTTCTCACTGTTGTGTTTGTTTGCTTTGCCTGTGCAAAAAACAAGACTATAATCTTGACAACTGTTCTTTCAGGATTATACAATTCTCAAAATGATGGGCAGCAGACAAGTAGCAACAGTAAGGTATTGTGTTCAAGCTCCCATCAAATGAATGGAATTGGTGCAATTTGCTGCCGTTTCAGTGGGATGGAGCAAGAAGACCTTAAAGACATACTTCAGCTTGGCCATAGCAGGAAGTTATTTCTAATAACCTTCCTTCACTAACCTCTCTCTAGGTTTTCAGTTGTACTATGCTAAAACATAAGCATTACAGGTCAATGTACCATTGACCTTTAGGAACAGGAGTTTATTGATTTCTCTTGAGTACAGGATGTCTTTGGCTCCTGGCTAATGAAGATTAATGTAACAGGCAAAGGTTCTGCAGAATTGGAAATAATGAGTTTATATTTTTAGAGGTCAAACTTATTGGCACCAAGAAGTATTGGAGCAGAACAAAAAGCATCCATTTAATTATAAGGCCTGATTGACGTGACTATTGCCTAAATCCTTTTGTTAGTTCTTACGAGAGTAGACCCATTCCACCAGTGAGAGTTACTTATGTGTCACAATTCATCAATTTCTGCAATAGTTTTACTCCACTTGGGACTCACCAACTGGATGTCAGCCTACAGCTATATCTCTACCCTATAAGGTTATTTTTCCATGCTTCAAAACACATTGACTGTAGAGTATGACATCACATGAGGAATGAATTAAAGTTCAGCTGTAAATCTGTATTTAATCCTGCATTATATCTATGCAAAGACAAGCAGGTCTTATTCAGAACAGTCTTTTCCTGAAGGAATGGACGGATGTAATCTCTGATGTATAGCAAATCTAAATTAGCTTTTGAGAGTGTAGGGATGGTATTCGTCAAGGTGGTCATCTTTCCATGTCTTCGTTCCATCTCTGATTAATTCTGTTTGACTTTATTAACCTAGCCCATACCGATGAAGAGATAAATTTTCAGGCAAGTTAATGTATTCACTGTAGTCCTTTTAAAACAATTTAAGGGTAGGGTTGAATCTTAATTTTTGCTGCATGAGCAGGACCTCAATTTCCTTGACTGGAAGGACCTTCTAGTCAAAGGGTAAAAATATTAGCATCACATTGTTTTCCTAGTCATTTAAAAGTATGCATTCTTTTTGAAATAAGCAGTCTCATTTTCAAAATATCTGATATTAAGCCCACTGTGTGTTGTAATATGAACAAAATGTTACCTCCCAGTGAGAGGGAAGATTATGAATTTTCTGAATTGATCCTTGACTCCTACTCAGCCCTACTATTAGTAAACTGAGAAAATCATCTCAAGCTGCATATTGTGCAAATCACAAAAAACAAGTACATTATTAATTACTTGCATATTTTTGGGATTTTTTGTTCCAGGCACCAGAGTAACTTTGTCACCTTGACTACTTGGGTAGCAAAATATCTTAGCCTGACCAGAATGATTTTACAAAATACATTTCTTCATTGTGTATCTATGCTTTATGTGTATAACATCCAACACGTAAGAATTTAATATAAAATTTTTGAAAAGATAGCACGAAGATGTTGTTAATACAATTTAAAATTTATAACAAATAATCTGTCATAGTAACAGTGGAGCCCCCGGTGGCGTAATGGGTTAAACCCTTGTGGCAGCAGGACTGCTGTCCAACAGGTTGGTGGTTTGAACCCGGGGAGCTCCCTCTGTCAGCTCCAGCTCCCCATGCGGAGACATGAGAGAAGACCCCCACAGGATGGTAAAAACATCAAAAATCCGGGCATCCCCTGGGCAACATCCTTGCAGATGGCCAATTCTCTCACACCAGAAGCAACTTGCAGTTTCTCAAGTCACTCCTGACACAAAAGAAATAACAGTCCTGAATCTCCAAAGTAGTTAACTACAGGTAATATCAAAAGCCATAATTTTGGCTCCAAAATCCTCCCTTGACTTCTACATGAGATCACCGCATAGGTGAGTGTGTAGGGTACTTTAAAAAACCTCAGTATAAAACTCAGCAAAATAGTTAAACTATGGACTCTGTAACCACAAAAGCAATGAAAACAAGTGTACTGAAACTGCCAAAGCAATTGAGTTATCTCTTGTCATGTTACAAGTTTAAAAGAACTAAGTTATCCTTTAGGTATTGGAAAGGAGAATTAATTACTAGTAACTATTTATTTATACCAAGTTTCCTTCAAGCTGAGTAAACATTTGGAGAAGTTTCCCTCAGTTTTGCTGCAGTAATATTTTTTCTTCTGCTACTAGAGTTCCTAAGCCCAATCCTGTGCCTTTTGTAATCAGGTCACTTGTTCTATTAGGAGCCCCCGGTGGCACAATGGGTTAAACAGTGTGAAGGTCAGTAGTTTGAATCTGGGGAGCAGGGTGAGCTCCCCTCTGTCAGCTCCAGCTTCCCATGTAGAGACATGAGAGAAGCCTCTCACAGGTAAAACATCTGGGTGTCCCATCTCAAAGTCACTCCTGACACACACAAAAACTTGTTCTGTTTTCTTGCTGTTTCAAAATAACATGATTCAAAGCTCACTTTGAAAAAATAAAAAAAATCCTTGAAGTGGTCAAACCCTAAACCTTAATTGCAATGTCTTCAGTGTCTTAAATGTACACATTTAATTACAATAAGCTTTTCTTTCCTCTAGAATGAAGTTTCCATGTTGAAAAATGAAGTAGCACAGCTGAAACAGTTGTTGTTAACACATAAAGACTGTCCCATAACAGCCATGCAGAAAGAGTCGCAAGGCTACCTAAGTAAGTAGGTAACATATTTATTTATTTTATTTTATGTTTTGAATTAATGTCACCTTTCTGTGCCCCCCTTCTAAGCTCTTGTTTCATGAACAGTCACATCAGACATATTTATAGATAGTATGAAATTAACAGTAGAGAACACAGACTGGCAAATTGTATCTGTGTGTACATGCACATGCACACTTAAACACACACTTAAACACACACAGTCCTACAATTCAATGTATCAGACATAGCCCAGCCATCGGTAATCCTATTGTAACCTTCAGGAAGTCACCCTCTCTCAGTCTTAAAGGAAGTTAATGACAAACCTTCTCTTAATAAATCTTTCTAAGAAATTCTATGATGATGTTTGCCTTAAGTAGGAGGCAGCTTTAAGGCACATAGCAACACACATTTTCTGCAAATTGTTCTAATAACAACTGAAAAGGGCCTGAGAATGAAGTCATCTACTTATATATAGATTCATGACTGTGTTAAAACCATTTAAAGCCCATCAATAATCCCTGATTGTGCCATAGTCCCAGGACTTACCTGATGCAGTGAGCTCCAGGTGTTTCTATGACAGCATCCTGTCCTCTCCCGATATTGATTTTTCTATAAAAAATAGGTTTTTTAAAAGTAAAAAAATAAAGAAATGGGGGAAAGCACCCTTCGAGTAAGGCCTTGCACTGCCGGGCATCACAGTAACACCATGACTGTGGCAGTGAAAAAAGGGTGATGATCATGACAGAAAGTAGCTGCTATTCCAGCCCATGGAAACAATGTTGGATAGCAGCTTCAAATGATAATGTCCTACAGCAACAAACGAAAAACAGTTATTAAAATGCTGGAAGGTCTGAGCAAATAAGGCTTTGCATAAAAATGGAACAACATAATCAATATTGGTGCTAGGTGGGACTCATGAGGGAAATTATTATAAATGCAAGGTGCCATGCTTTTGTGTGTGTGTGGGGGGGTGTCCTTGGTCTAGTTTTCCTGTACAAGGTAAGCCATTATCTGGCTGTGTCATTTTAAGTTATCCTTGGGGCATGCATATAATCCTGCCATATAAAACGATATACAATAATTTATCCTAATGTCTTGCTTTTGATAAGATACATACTACCATTCAAACATATTGAATATACATATTAATGCAATGTATGCAATGAGTATATATTGAATATATTCAAACATGTGAACACTCTCCTGTCATTTGAAATTATAAGCCCAAATAGAGAACTTGGTTTAACCTCAGCTGCTTATCTAAAAATGCCAAGCATGTCTCCGAAAAATTTGTGTTCACAAACTTGTATGCCATCTTTGTGTATTTATTTGAGAACCAATTTGGGTCTGCCTTCCCAGTAGAACTTGGAAAAGTTAGTCTTTTAAACCATATTTCCCAGAATCCAGCATGGTTACAGTGACTGGAGAATTGTGCAAAATGCAGTCCAAAAACTGACATTTCCAAGCAAAGGTTCCCAATCAAAAATACAGCAAACGAACATGTCTTGCTGTTGTAGGAGTGAAAGATTTTACATTGTCACTAGATAAGACTTTCTCTTCTTTTAGATTAAGTTTTCTTTACAACTAAGGAATGTGGATCTCTATACTAGCAGGTAATCCAGTGTAGCAATTGCATTAGACTGGGGTGTCCAAATGACAAACCCAGGTGAATGAGTTTTAAGCAGAAGTAAGGTTTTTCTTAACCCAGGTTTATCCTGAGTTTTAAAAGCACCAGCAAAGTTCCAGATCTTCTAAGAAGATCCAAGTCTTTGTGAACATCTAAGCAGTGGAGACTGCCATCTGGATAATCATGAGCAGATGGTATCCCCACAGCCACCCCACACTTCCCAAGCCACCCTGCACTCCAATTCCTCACAAAAAAAAAATAGGAATTGCACTTACCATTGTAGAAAGTTGTCCTCTTCCTGAATCTGTGTCATTTAGGACATGACATAGCTTTGGAGGGGGGAAGGAGAATTCCTGCTCCAAAGCTCCATCATGTACTCTGTGATGCTGATCCAAGAAGAAGACAGCCTCCTGTGATGTTAAGGGCTATTCCTTGTACTTTTTGCAGGGAACCGGGGTACAGGGAGACTCAAGAGGCACTGCCCATGCTCAGCTGCGTTGAACCAGCATCGGCACAGTTGAGCTATGTGGCTTATCCTTCACCACCACTGCACTGCCCTTTGACAGTCACATGTGGCCACAATGTAGCTCAGAAATTGCATTTTTTGTGTGTCAGTTGAAGCTGCATTATGTGGCTATGAGGAAGTGCCCTTAATCCACAAGGTGGTGCAGCATCTTCAACAAATCCAAGACTTCTAGATTTCCACACACCATTTGGGGTTAGGGGAATCTGGAACTAGCACTGCCTTCCTTTCTCAGCTTGACATCACCTGTTAAAGTGCTTGCAAAGGAGAAGCCTGGAGAGGAGAGGCAGTGCATATTCACTATTTCGTTGGAACACCTCTGACTTCATGACACATAGAACCAAAGGAGAAGATGACACTCCAGTACATGAAAGTAGTACTTTGCAGATTTTGTTCTTTTGTATTCCAATTTATATTAAATCATAAGCACAATTTGAAGGTAACCATAAAACAGCTCCCAATGCTGCATACATATGTCATATATTTTGTGATAAAATAAATGTTTCTAAACCTTCGGTGATTAAAGCTTGCCCAGGAAAAACCTGTTATAGGACAACGTAAGTTGGAATTGATTGGAAGACACATTAAACACTTGGATTCCTGGTTTCATGGTATTAGATTATGTTGTTTACATTTGGGGGCCTGTTGAACAGTACTGTGCTAATCAGAAAAGACATTTGGGGGTGGAGGGAGATGTTTCTTCCTGGTTGTATAGACATGACCCTCTTTTTTGTTTGTTTTCTTTTCAGGTCCAGAAAGTAGTCCACCTGCCAGTCCCGCCCCTCCCTGCTCCCAGCAACAAGTCATCCAGCATAACACCATTACGACTTCCTCTACAGTCAGCGATGTCGTAGGCAGCTCTGCTCTCAACCAGCTTGCAAGTCACAGAACAGATCTGAATCCAATCCTTTAAAGCCCATTAGAGAGGAACTGCAATGGGGGAAAAAGTGATAGCAGATCAGATTTCCTTTCTGTTCAAAGCAGTGTTGTTTTTTCAAAGATATCTCAGAACTAAGAGACTCTTCAACCCCTAGAAAGACTATGAGCTCCATTTTTATAGTTATTAAAATGTCTTTTATACTTAGTAATAATAAAGGGAGTTATGCAATGACTATGCTATCAGCTTGGGAGATACTTTGGTGCTTTCTCCAATTTCCCGGTACCAGCTGTTTGTTCGTTTGTCCGTCTGTTTGATTGTTTGTTTTTAACCAAAATCTTCCTGTACATAGTCATGTTCCTTCCTGTTTTTGCAGGCTGACCCAAGGGAAACACATTATACCACTGAAATGAGGCATAAGAAATCTTAAACTGACATACACAGGCAACTGGGCATAATGGGGCTATAAACACATGGAGGAAGTTTGGTTGATATCATAAGTACGGTATATTTGTTTTGCAAAAGCACCAAGGCCTCAAATACATTTATAGCCTTATGTACCAATTTTGAAAAATGTATCCACGTTCTACACAACTATTAGCTGGATAGAGAAGGTTATGGCAGAAAGTTCCATTGGTCTAGTTCTCCATATTTTCCCCCTTTGTCCAAACTGTTTATCTTTGCAATTCTGCATTTGTAAAGTTTTACTTGGATATGTTGTTGCATGAGTTTAAATTCTTGAGAATTCTCTTCCCCCCCCCCTCTCTCCTCCCCCTCTCTCTTTCTGATATTTTGGTAAAGCAGATTTCCTTACCCAGTTTAGTTAAAAGGAAAACATTTGAAATTATTACAGCTAGTAGGCGTAGTGCTGCAGATGATAGAAATTTTGTGGTTGCAAGGTCATTTGTTATTCTCTAACAGAGCCCGGAAAAGTTATTGTTTTTGGACTAGAACTTCCAGATACACTAGCCATATTGGCTAGAGAATTCTGGAAATTGTATCCCAAAAGTAACTTTTCCAAGCTCTGCTCTCTATCTACAGTCCTTTCACTTCCCTTCAGTTCCTAATACTTCTTTTTTGCTTACTCCCGTGATGTATACATGGAACATTCATTTTAAATATGCAATATGCAGACTTTTAGTAGTACATGGTGTTTTGAACTTCTGTGGAGTTTCTGGTGTCTTTGATGTGTGATCCAAGCGCTTCCTTCTGCCTCCTTTGCACAGCATATTTGTCTCTTTCCTCTGAAATATCTTGTTTGTCCTTCATATAAAAACTCCTCTAATTTCTAGGTGTTTGCACAATATCTGTTAGCTTTCAAGAAACACTAAAGTTGAAGGAAAGCCTCCAGGCTCCCCGGCCATTTGCTCTGAAACAGCTGACTTGGCCATGGTTTTCAATAGCCATGTATTTACACCTGTGCTGAATTTTTAATTTTTCCACTAAAAGTTTTTTAAAAAAAATGTTTTTACTGATCCTGAGTTAATAGATTTTTTTAATAAATAGTAAGAGTTAAAAGCAGTTTAACCGCAGGTGAAGCCTGTCCTTAAGCCAAGGAGGTCAGGAAGAGAAAGCCTTATAAGATTATTATTTTTTTGTTGTAAAAAATTAAAACTCAGTGGCATAGGAGAAAGGTCAGTCTCATTATATCCACACTGTAGTGGCTTTATTTTGCATTGTCAGTCAGTAAAGAAGAGAGTCGCTAGAGAGTCTTATTGCACCAAACAATAAATTAAGCAGCTTGCTACAATTTGTAAGGCTTAATTTATTGTTTGCTGTAATCAGACACTCCTGGAGGAAAATGTCATTAAAATGAAAAGTATTATTTATCTACATTTAAAAATTATATACAACTAAACCTCAACAACTATATGATCAGATATACTCTGCAGCTAGTGATTTGTCGTCATACTGTACATCCAAAAAATTTTTAGAGCCTAACTTCTTTATTCTCAGAATAATGAAATTGGCCAACTCATGCTAAACATAATGGGATTACTGCAAATAGCAGCAAACTATGTTCTGGGACATGAAAATACAAACTCACATAGGATCATCTTGGTGATGGTTGGTATCTCTTTTGTCAAGAGTGCAAGAAATCTACTGTTTTTTAGTACATGTTCAACTAATTATCCAAGGCACTAAGTCTACTTGGGGCCTATACTTTGGATAGTTCCTTTAAGGTCTGAAATAAAACCATGAGTAAATTATATCAGAGCCATCAGCCACTATTGAAATGCCCCTGTTTTCTCTGTGTTATTTTAGGTGTAGAACATATGGTAAGGAGTAGCTTCTAGGCTTCAAACAATCCAAGTCTTTTCCCCCCATTCTTACAATGGGAATTTCCCCTCCATTTCACAACTCTACTTGATAGTCACATGAGAAAGATCAGATAGTGGTTTCTCAACCTGTGGGTCCCCAGATGTTTTGTCCTTCAACTCTCAGAAATCCTAATAGCTGGTAAACACCTAGCGACCCACAGGTTGAGAACCACTGAGATAGAACATGCCACTTTCTCTGTTAAACATTAACTCGAGTATTCTGTGTGCTACAGTTAAACACTGATTCACCTACAGTCCTTTCTTGCTCTTTTGTCATTGATGATATTAAAAGAGCAATTAAAATGGTCCCAATGTGATCTCTTTCACATTGCACTTACAATTTTCAGAATGAGTTGCATGCAAGTGACACTGGATTATAACTACCGTATTGATCTTGGGTGTCGTGGTATTTTTCTATCTCATTGTATAAAACTGGACTTCATGTTTGTTTGGTCCCAGGCACTTCCAGTTGCAATATAGATATCCCAAAGGGCTACACTGCAATGCAAAAATGTCTATTTTTGTTTTGCGTTCCCCCCGCCCCCTTGCAAGCCATATCCATATTGTGAAACCCAGGGAAGATTAATAGTGTATAGCCTCCTTCATTATAACACTTGTGAACATTTACACTTTGCTTACCCATATCATTTAAGTATACAACCCCTTATTGTGGTGAAAAATGAACAGCAGTCATCCAAACTGTCATTTGCTTTTAACTCTTCTTTTCATTAACAAGCTAACTGTGTCTGTCAAAAGACCTTCTTTGGAGGGAATTTATATTTTTAACACAAAAAATATTTTGAGTGTTTGTGTGTGTGTGTGTGTATACATGCGTGCATGGGTTCATGTGAGTGTGCATTTTATAAAGAAAAGCCTTTTAGTTAGACTCTGCTTCTTAGCCAACAAGACATTTTTCTACAAAAAAAGATAAGAAAAGCAGGAAAAAAGATATATAATGGATTTACGGAAATTCATGAGGACCAAAGTAAAACTTAAAACACAACAGGAATTAATTTAGGTGTTCACATAGAATTTTATAAAGTATTTATTACTAAATGTTATTTTTAACATTCCATTTAGGCAGCATTCTTATAGGGAATCTGTATTTTTCTTAGTTACGCTGGGGTTAATCCACACAGAGATGGGCTCCTGAACAACTTGATTTGTGAGCTTTAGCCTCATGTACGTTTCACTGAAATGAAACCAGAAGTTGGCAGTTTTACGTCTGGTTGGATTGCCCCATTAGTTTTGCAATGCACAACTCTCAGTGTATGTATATGTAAATATATATAATAAATATATATATATATTAAAATATATAGATAGATCTCCATAGATCCCAAGCAAGAATTATCCATCCTAGATGGAACACTTGCAGAGGTCTACTACCTGGAAATGTCCAGAATTCAGTATTTTCTTTAAAGCAGCATCTGCTTTTTGTAAAAAAAAATAAAACAAAAAACAAAAATGTACAATTATACAGTTATTTCATTTTTGTTGAAGATGTGCAAAGGCCTGCTAAAGGGAAATAACCCATATATAACTGGAACGCTGCCTTTATGAACAAGCTCCTTGCAAGCAACTCCAACAAGGATCCTGTTCAATGCTTACTTCTTTTCTAATATCTTGTGTGAGTTGCACTAAAACTGCCTTCTCAGTTCTTCTTGGGTCCCTTACTAAAAAGTGTCCGTTAACTTAAAAAAAAACATGGAAGTTTGACTATATATCCAGTAAAGTTATCTGTCATGCCGCTGAGGTGATGGGGAAGGGAAGTAAAAAATTGTAATTTGTGAAAGTGTTAAAATAGGACTTCGACAACGGACCCTATTGCAGCCATTCAGCATCTTACTGCATTTCAATTATTTATGTTATTTGAAAATTGCACTTTAGCAGTCTCTCCTGTTTTCCCTTCCCTTGTAAAATGTCAGCCAGTGAGTTCATTAGATGCTTTGACTGGTGATGAAGTTCCTCTTGTTCCTTGCAACAAGTCTAAAGGAGAGCTGCTCAGAGAAGGGGAATAGGAAAAAGCCAATCAGTAGTATGATTTTAAACCACATGCCCTCCTTTTTCTAATCCTAAGATTATTATTTTTTAAGAGAACCCTTTCTCAAAAAATCTTGAAAAATGAAACTTTATTAAATGCTAAGAATTCTCCAATCAAGGTCCACAGGCCTATTCCCAGATCTCTGATTTCTCTATGCCTGAAAAACCACATAAAATCTATCATGTTTATATATATATCCGTTATGCCGGGGGGGGGGGGGGGGATATAGCTATCTGGAGTAAAATAACAACATTTCCCAAATAAGAATTCTTCCTTTTGTAATGAAATTTTCATTTCACATTTTGAACTCTCCTTGCTGTGTTTGCAGACCTTTGGTAACTTTTCCTGCCACTTACCTTTGGATGCCAAAATTGTTTTTCCAAATGTTTAACGGAAGTTTTAAGTTACTGCACTATACGTTGAGCAACCCTTATTCTGCAATCCAAAATACTCTTTAACACTTTGCTTTCTGGTTCATCCACAAACTTCATTTCATACACAAAATCATTAAAAGCTATTGTGTATAAAATAAGTTTCAGGTCGTGTGTATACGATGTACATTAAACATAATTGAGTTTTGTGTTTAGACTTGGGCACCAGCTCCAAGATATGCATATATGCAAATACAAGTATTCTCAAATCTGAAAAAAAAATCAAACCCTTTCTGGTCCAAGCACTTCAAAAAAGGGATGTTCAACCTATATAATTAGGGCACAGAATTCTTATTGGGTGGTAACATTCTTCTTTTGCACCCTATAGCTAAACCTCTGCATTTTGTCATGCCATAGGAGAAAATAATGTCTCATAGCTATTTGGGTGTTTAAAAAATTATTGTCCAGATATTCATTTTTAATTCCAAGCCCATACACTCTACAAGCCAGCACATACTTGTTTCAAAATAAATCCACACCAAAGCAGGTTGGGCTTCAAATTCAGCCTACATAACATTGTGCTTTAATATCTTGTTGCCTTGCAAATTACAGCATCTTTTTATTTTAAAATAGTAACAATCTTATAAGGACAGTCATATCTGAAGCAATACAATGTGAGAGGGTTTTTTAAAAGTCTAGTCCAATGAAAAGGGTTTTTTTTAACCCCTGTACTATTTTGCTTGTCTTCTTTGTGAGCATTGCCTTGGTGGTAAAGTTGTTCACCAAGGTTAATGTTTTCTATTCTGAGGGCTACTTCAGCTGCTTAGCCTCATCCCCTAAGTAACCTGCCATTCTGACAAGAGTTATCAGAAGCAATATTCTTTTCTGCAGGAGTCTGGATCCAATTTTTGTCATAGGTATAGCAGAGCCATTTAAATCAGTAGGACTTGAGTTTCTTGAAGACTCGTCACATTGATTTGAGTAGGACTAGGGGCTCATCCACACTGCAGAATTATAGTGCTACTATAACAGTTCAGGGAGAGACATATAGAAGTTCCTAGCCAGCATCCATCAGTGCCTCACTAACCTACAAACCCCAGGATTCTGTAGGATGGAACTTAACATGGAATAATAATGCTATAGTTGTGTGGTGTGAATGGCTTCCTAAGCTAGGGACAATGTGACCTCCTCTCACCTTTACTGTACAGTCTAGAGCAGATGGGAATTGCTGTCAATATCTGGAAGGCCTCGTGTTCCCCACCCATCATCTGTCAAAAGTATGAATATCTATGTTGTGCAAAAACTACTTCTGACATTTTAGTGTCCCTGTAAACTATGTACAGGGTGGAGGGAAAGGGTGTCAATCCAAACTGTTCGCTTTGCTCTGTGATATGAATTCTCTTGAGCAGAAATCTGCTTTCGTTCCAAGTTTTCTTTGGATAACAAATGAGCATCAAGACTGTTTATACCAAAAAATATATATGTATAATCTGGAATACACCATTTGTATGTTCTTGTTTGAGAGAAACAAACATTTCACATAATTTTTCAAGCTCTCTTTGAGAGGATTGTTTTGTTACTCCTGTGCCAAATGGCAGTTCCTAAATGTTGCTTCTCAAGTCCACAAAGGCTGCAGGTTTTTTCTTTGTAGTTGTAAAAGTGTATGTGGAAGGAGACCTAAAGAAGGAAGAGGGGAGAAAAATTCCTTTCTGATGGTCTCTAAAAGTCATTTTTAAATATGATACAAACAAAAATAAAGGCTTATTATGGATTCTCGTTTAGTGCCTCTCACCATTGAATCAATAGCTTTGAACAATATTGCTCTTTTCCCCCATCCAACACCTTGTTTTACAAACCAAAAATGTCAGCTTCACAGGTATTGACTTTTAAAAGAGGAAAATAAAAGACAAAAATGGGGAAAGTTGGTCTTTTATAACAATAAATCCCAGAAACCCAACTGGTGCATGCTGGGAAGTTTAGTTTATAAAAGTGATTCTTTCCAAGAGGAAATTTGTAGAATACCTCATTAAAATTGATCTATTTGTCACCTTGGAAATGTTATTCAAAGCAGACTTTTCATCATAGCTGTGAGAATGTGATGAGACATTTTATATTTGGAGAATCCCACAAACTATTTAAACTGTCCTTGATTTGGTCCTGCCATCAAAAGCAATTCAATGTGACTAAAGGAATCCAAGCGATATAAATAATATTTTCTATTTTCTCTGGAGACTTGTTTTATTTCTTCGTCGTCACCATTGTCACCCCCACCTTTCCAAATTATTCCATTTTAATGTCTGGCTAATCAATGCAAGTTGGTTCTATAAAATATTATTACTCGACTGTATTGATTTTTAAAGGAATACTTAGCATTAAGAAGAGTAAACACTATGGCATTTTGCAGGGGGATTAAAGAGGTTGCAAAGGTTGTTTGCATTCTATGCAAAAAAAATGTTTGTTTTGTTCTGTTTTTAAAAAACTCAACAACCACCTCCCTGTCTGGGAGGAGAACAACAAAATTGGTACATACCTGTAAATATGTGCTGCTGCTGTTGCTTTTACTATGTTTAATTTTATGTTACGCTTCTTTTTGTTGCATTGTGAACACATTTATTACTCATGGACAATGAGCTCATTGAGATTGTACAACTCAACCCGACTTCTACATCTCTTTCTAACTTGGAGAGATTTTGTGCATTTGTACAAATGTTAATATCACTGCAATTCCAGTATAATAAAGCACTCGAATGCAATTAAACTTCTTAAGTTTCCACTTTTGTTTGTTGATTTGTTTAAACCAAGAAAGAAAACATACAATTGATACTTGGCTGGCTGTTTGGCCTAAAACCAACCACATTCATTTCGTTATACAAAAACAACTAATGATGATGCTGTTTCAAGACTTGCCAACTCTATCTTTTTAAATGTCCTATTGGTGTTGGTTTCCTGATATGAAATACAATGTGGCACAATTTGGACAGTCAAAGCACTATGTTGATGCCTCTTGAAGGAGATCTCCCTAAAACACTTATAGTTTACGTTGGGGATGGACAGTTCATGGTTTTTGATATGTTGCTGAACTGCAACTGCTATAATACCTAATCAGCAAAGTCAAATCAGGGGGGTGATGCTGTTTCAAATCTATCAATGCCTGGACGCAAGTTATGCACCCAGTTTTACAGGACTGTACAAGACTGGATTTATTTCTCCCTACCTACCTAACCCACATTATGCTTAACCACACATCATCTTATGCACCGTTTTTTTATGTTAGTGTGTAGCCTAGTCAGCAGATCAGGAGTGTGGGTCAAGGCGAGTCATATCCTAATAAAGTAGCAGAGCTTGGGAAAAGCCACTTTGGACCATGTTGACTGGAGGCAGTTCTGCACAGACACTAAAATTGAGTTAGTAGATTAAACCAAACCGGTTCCACTGCAGAGTGCCTACATATCTCCATAGTAACTGGTTTGAGGCTTATTAAGACTCCAAACTGAACCCAGCAATTTCTTTTCCTTACCTAGTCTGCTGAGATGTGCTGATGTGCATCGCCATGTTTCTTCGGCATCAGAGCTAGATCATGGCAGGGCACAAGAAATGAGAAAAAAAGGTGGACAGAAGCAAGAGTTCCCATAGGAATTGTGTGGTTTCCTCTCCTGGGGGAGAACTCGTTTATATTCCAACCAATTGTGTTTCAGCATTTTTTAAGGTGCTTCAGCACTAGCTCAGTTTTCAGTCTTGGATTCAAACTCAGCATTGGATGTACTCTGATCAAGCTGTGATGGATTTTCTGGCTTGTTCGGGACTTTCTGGTGAGTTTTTAATGTTCTGTTTCTGGTTTAATTCACACTGCAGCTGGCTTTAAACTGCATTACATGGTTTGTGTAGAACTATATGTATTGGTCCAAAACTTATTTGGCCTATGTATACTCACAGCATAATAGTTGCCACTGTGTAATAGTCACATCCCCCTTTTTTGCCCCCAAATAAGTACTTTCCTTTCTTTGTGTCACGTTATTGCTGGCTGTATCTGGAGCTCTCCTTTCCCTCCTGCCTCCTCAGAGGCAGGCCCGTAGCCAGGATTTCGTTTCGGGGGGGGGGCTGATTTGTTTTTTCGGGGGGGGGGCTGATTCTGAGTGAAAGAGGGTCTAGCCTAGCAAACCTTTTGTATCATTACCCCAATACCCCCATGCATATGGGATATATTGAGTATGGTGATCAGATCATGATATGAATAAACATAACAGTTTAAATAATGCACCAGTAAGGCCTTTTCGCGAACCACCATGAGAATTTTGGGGGGGGGGGCTGAAGCCCCTCAAGCCCCCCCCCCCCCCCCCGGCTACATGCCTGCTCAGAGGTAAGACAGATTTTTAAAAGAAATACAAATGAAGCCAGCTAGGTCTGAGGCTTTATTTCTCTTACTTCCAGGGAGGCAGGAGGGAGAAGACCCAGCCGGTTCATTTCAATTTCTTTTTTTAAAACTGCCTTGCCTCCAAGGAGGATGCTGGGTTTGAGGCTCTCCCTCCTTCCTCACCAGAGGTAAAAGGGGAAAAGCCCTAGACTCAGTCCCACATAATTTTTTCTTCATGTAATGTTCAAGTGCAATTATTACGTGGTGAATTACGATATGTTTCAATGGCCTTCTTCAGAAGCTACGCAAAAATACAAAGGAAATTTTCAGATTAAAGGACAACATAATTAGTCTAAAACAAGAAGATGCTGTAGCAGTCAAAGGTAACACTCAGACACAGTCTGATACAGCTGCACAGCTGCGAGAATTCAACAGGTAAAACATAACTTGTTGCTCCAACAACATATCAAAATGTTGTCTTTGAATTGTTTCTCTCTTCTGCTGCTATTAAAGACAGAATAGTTGGTTGGGGATTGGCAATCCTAGCTTAAACAAATGCTTTGGATGAAATCAGTGACGTGATCGAAAATAGTTTCCATGGAACCTATTTCTTTAAATGAATGCATGTCTAGCATACGGATTGGTCTCCCCTAGAGAAAGCAATGCAAATACTTTCTTTAAGATCAGAGAAGCTGTTGAAGATGAATACTGCAGTCAAACAAGGAAACAGCTGTTGAAATCACCTAGTGCAAGCATCCTGAAACTGTGGCCCTCCAACTGTTTTGGCCTCTGACTCCCAGAAGCCCTAGCCAGCTTGTTTAATGGTCAGGAATTCTTAGCTGGAGGGCCAAAGTTTGAGGATGCCTGACCTAGTGGGACATTGCAAAATATTCATCCAAAACAGTGGTTTTCAACCTGTGGGCCCCCAGATGTTTTGGCCTTCAACTCCCTGAAATCCTAGGAGTGGTAAACTGGCTGAGATTTCTGGGAGTTGTAGGCCAAAACTCTGGGGACCCACAGGTTGAGAACCACTGATCCAAAAAATATCCTAAAACCCCTTATTGGACCTATTATAAAGGGTTATAAAACCTCTTATTGGACCTGCCTCTCCTCATGTCTTCTCATCTTGTCTTACCTCTCCTCTTCTTAGAGGTAGTGACAAGGCAATAAGTTACACAAGATACATGCCCAAGCAATTGGGTTGCTGCTGCCCCCCCCCCCCGCGTCCTGCGAGTCATCTTTTCTCCAGACTAATCTCTTGTCTCCAGTGCAATACAATGCCTTGTTATGAAAATGACTCTTTAAAGCTGATAAAATATTTAAGACATGTGTTCTGATAGTATTATGTAAGCAAATACCAAGAGAAGTCTGACCATTAGTGAACCTGATCAGCCCAATCTCCGAGGATTTGCTTGGAGTGCAATCGAGATGGGTTCTAGATACAGGCAAACTGAGAAGCTGCCTAATATTCAAAAAGGAGCACGTGAAAATAATCAGCCAGGGATGTCCGGCATTTATCTCTCTGGCATCCCGCTGGAAAATGAGGCATCTCTAAAGGGGATGGGGAGGAGATATTGCAGTCAGCACTTTGCAGGCAGCAGTAATCGGTCAGAGGAAAAATGCTTGACATAACTGCTGAGTATGTGAAGGGAAGGCTGAGACAAAGCATGTAAGAGCAAGAAGGTGGTTGCTTAAAAGCAGTGGGCAAAAACATATGAAGTTTTATCTATGAAAATGCCTAGTAGTCTAGGATTTCTGAAAATCATAACCCCAAAAAGTAACTTTTCTAAGTTACCTGCCAAGACCTCCAACAGACCCCCATGTATCTTGGCACACAATTACCTCTGGCTATGAGGACATAACACTTCTTTCATTCCCAGCTCCACTTGTTGGCAGCCAATGAATTGCTGTGGATGCGGGGTCTATAGCGAAGGAACAAGGGACCCTTGAAATTCTGAGATGGGAGCTGTAGTATAGTTCTGCCTGTGAAATTTCAGTGATGTAGAATCTTGGCCAAGAAGGCAATAATCTAGAACAGCTCATACCCCATAATCCTCGCAATTATCTTTGTAACAGGAGAAACTAGAGTGTGATGTTTGGACCTTCTGCATTTGCTGTATTGCTATGCTCTGCCTTCACCTTAAAAGAATCTAGATGCTACCACACCTTTTTGTGTTATTATTGTTAGCACTCAGTTGTGCAAGTGACATTTGGGGTAGGAAAGAAGTGTCCACTCAAATTAATTTTCATGAATTCATACAATTTGAAGTCTTCAACACTATCAATAAAAGTATCTATACCTCTGTCAGATTTTCAATCACTGGGGAAAAACCACAATTATCAGATTGATCTTTGCTCTTGAAATTATAGGAAAATTGGTGTGCTAAAATTTTAGTTACAAATAAAAAGCTTATACAGTAATTGAAAATTATACAGAAACAAGCTGTAGTTGATGTACATAGAATCATAGAATCATAGAATCAAAGAGTTGGAAGAGACCTCATGGGCCATACAGTCCAACCCCCTGCCAAGAAGCAGGAATATTGCATTCAAATCACCCCTGACAGATGGCCATCCAGCCTCTGTTTAAAAGCTTCCAAAGAAGGAGCCTCCACCACACTCCGGGGCAGAGAGTTCCACTGCTGAACGGCTCTCACAGTCAGGAAGTTCTTCCTCATGTTCAGATGGAATCTCCTCTCTTGTAGTTTGAAGCCATTGTTTTGCGTCCTAGTCTCCAAGGAAGCAGAAAACAAGCTTGCTCCCTCCTCCCTGTGGCTTCCTCTCACATATTTATACATGGCTGTCATATCTCCTCTCAGCCTTCTCTTCTTCAGGCTAAACATGTCCAGCTCTTTAAGCCGCTCCTCATAGGGCTTGTTCTCCAGACCCTTGATCATTTTAGTCGTCCTCCTCTGGACACATTCCAGCTTGTCAATATCTCTCTTCAATTGTGGTGCCCAGAATTGGACACAATATTCCAGGTGTGGTCTAACCAAAGCAGAATAGAGGGGTAGCATTACTTCCCTAGATCTAGACACTATGCTCCTATTGATGCAGGGCAAAATCCCATTGGCTTTTTTTGCCACCACATCACATTGTTTGCTCATGTTTAACTTGTTGTCCATGAGGACTCCAAGGTCATTTTCACACTGCAGAACCTGTACAGAATCGGGGTTAGAATGCAAACAATTTTTTTGAATTTTAGACATTTGCCTTGTATAATTTCAGTTTTCCAGACAAGAGAAAGCAAAAAGGAACAAACACTTCATAACAAATCAATTGACTTTTTTTTAATTGATTTTTTTCTTTTCAGGACATGCAACATATTAGGACTTTAAAATGTTCTATGTATTTTTTGGAAGGTCATAATGCAACAAAGCAGAATTGCCATGTTATATTGCCATTAA